TTCAATTGACTTCGGAAAAACTATACCTAATACTTCATAATTTCCAAATTTTGAAAAATATTTTAGGTAGATATTTTTATTAAAACAGCGATATACTCCAGATATACTCACCCTCTATATCTGGAGTTAACTTATCCAGAAAAAATTTTTTGAATGTTCTGAAGACCATTACAATACAATTGTAAGAATAAATCAAAATGGGCAGATCAAAAATGATTAAAAAATACATTTCTGCACGGAACTGGAAACAGCTCCACTGTAAAAACTTACGTTGCGCAAGGCATAGCATGGAGTCGGCGACCGTCACGGCAGCAAAGTGTAATAAACTAACACAAATGTTGTCTTGCTTCTCCATAACACAAATGCTGCCCCATAACACATAAAACGATATCCAACTCCCAAGTCGCTATTAACGTAAGCCATTTATCACACTTGAAAAGCTAATGTAAACAATGTCGCAAAAAAGTTAATATTAAAAATTAAAATCCTATTTTAGTATTCGGATTCGAAGGGTTGAAAATACTATAACTACTTTATTTTTACGATATTGACTCCATTTTTTATGACGCATCTATCTCCAAATTTTTTTGGATATGTTGTGAATCACCCTGTATATGGGTACACTTGCCACACTACAGACCTTGTAAGCTTTAAACAAATTTTCTTGTGGAAACTGTAGGATTTTCCTCAACAATATTTAAAACCAATTATTAATTGTCATTCGTTCCAACATATTGAAGGATTTGCAGGATTTAAATTTGCATATTGTTAAAGAATTGGACTTTAGCCTAAAAGAGTTATAATTATTTAATAATTGTAAACAAATATTCCAATTAAATTTTCATCCACATATGAGTTAGATAATATAAAATAAATTTAATGTACTTTGTCAAAAATTGTAGATGGATAAATGCACTCAGATTTTACCAATAAAACTTTGACTTCGGCTGACATATGTAGCTATATAATTTTATAGAGTATATAAAGAACTTATACGCTTACGAGAACAAAGTCATGGAATTCTCATTACAAATTAATGACTACAATAAAGTTGATTCCAACAGAAGTTTTATTAGTTTCGTTGAATTACACACCGTTAAAAAAGTAAGCCGTATGTCAAGAAGAATTTAATCAAGGCTATAAGGTCATTGGTTACATGACTTGTTTTACTTTTACCTAATAAGTATACCTACAGCGTGTACCTTTAAGTGAAAAAATTAATATTTCTAAAATCAAATACATAGTCGAGACAAACTCTTGTAAACACCGTTATTGGTCAGCTCTCGAAGCCAGTGTTTATGAAACATGGAGTGGCATAGAGCAAAACTGCAATACAAAAATGTTTATAAAAATAGATTGCTTTTTGAAGTGTGTAACTTAACTTAACCTTATAAAAGTTATTTATTTCAGTGTTTAGTGATGACACGGTGTGTTTGTGTGTCTTCATTGTTAAATTTATGTGAGATATTACGAAAAATCATGTATGTATATGAATTAAGGAAGATGAGATTTGATAACAACGCATGCTGTAGTACAACAATGGTCAATATGGTGGGTTTCATCATGTGGATAAAATAATATCGGTCTGGTTTGTCAATATACCTTAAAAAATCCCTTCAACCCTCTTCCCAAACGGATCCCTGTCAAATCCTGCAACTAAGCCACGCCAGGAACGTAAATTTGAATCAATTAATTAGTGAATAAGCTTCTATAAGCCTTTGGATAATGGCGTTAAATTATAAGTTTCTCTAGAGTTGACAACAACTTTCAACTTCCCACCCCAGGGGATTAGGTATAAATGCCGATACAATCTGCTTAAAGGGTGGAATTATTAATTGTTCTGCATTTTAACTGTAGCCTGCAGAGTTTGGAGAGGGTAAGAATTAGAGACTTGCGAAATATCCATCATAAACGCATAAACTTAATAATATCAGCAATATTTATTGGATGGCAATATGAAAAGTAACTGATACTGACCATAAAGAAAGTACTGCTTCTGATTAAATTATTTATTTTATTTATGTTCCTATATATCTGACTTCATTTTAGCGTAGGCTATAATTGAACCATTCTACAATACTCGTAAACATTCCGTGCATAAAACCTGCTTCTGAAAAAATGACACGGCATTTTATTACAAACAAAACAAAATACAAACGTGTGTAGGTATTTATAAAAAATAACAGGACGTGAGAAAATGTCAGTCCAGTCTTCAGTTTGTTGTTTCTGAAAGAATGTGGACAGATTTCCTTCCATCGCACTATATTAAATGAAGTTTATAAGCATTGAACCTTTTTACAACAATTTTATAGCGTAATTAACACAGTTACATACTTGTGTAACAAAAAAATGTACTCTAGGTACATCGTGATAGGTACTGTTACAAAAACTGGAATAGTGTGGCATGTAAAAAATGTATGCTCCCGTTTAACAAGTTCATACTCCAGAAAACCATAAAAGAAAAAGTATTAATTTAACAAGGCGTAAATCTAGAGTAGGCACCTACTATGAATGTTTTGTTAAAAATTCAAGTTCTGAATAAGAAAAAATAACTTTCAACACAACACAATTCACCCTTAATTTAGTACTTGGTTCACCAGCAGAATTTGCTACGATATTTGAGAAAACAATGATTATTTTCCGAGAAATCCAGCTACTCTTTTATTCCACGAGCGACTGGCATAATGTTGCCATTAAAAAATTTCTCACGGAGAAAATGGAATTTAAAAATAGCGTCTGGGTTTAGGAACAATGCTACCTAATTATTTGATTCTGTTCGTTGGCAGATATTTGAGTGCATTCTAATAAGAATTTTGATTTGTATTCCAGTAGACTCGCCAGACAGTGTGTGAAAATGCTTACCTATACGTCTCGATAACTGTATTTTTATAATTCGAAGCATTGTATCAGGTCGTTATCAGCGACTGTGAGAACTATGACTACAAGAAATAAGAAATTTTAACATAACTTTTGAAAGCCATACTCACATATATGTAAGATAAAATCGTAGTAATTTAATTACCCGGTTAAATATTATTTATTTCACAAATTTTTGTGACAATTAATTGATTTTCCATTCATATATCAGATAAATTCGCATAGATACTTTGTTATAATTTATCTATATCTGTATTTAGCAATTAATTGCAAAAGAAAGTATGTAGGCAATACCAGGATAACTGCAGTATAGAAATAGAGCCTAATATTTTTAACCATTTATATATCTTGCAACAAAATATGTTTTCTAAAAATGTCTGATTATAAAAAATTAAAATAATACAAGTTAGTGTAAAACTTACTGGTTTATTTCGTCTAAAGAATTAGGTACTAAATTATTTTTCAAGATTTTTGTAAATATCCACCTTAGAAACTATGAACAAAAATATTATGTAAGCCCTGTGCGTAGTGAGAGCACTTAATTAGTAGCACCCAGTATTGTTAATAATTTATCTAATTTGATGAGTCCAGTGGGTCTCAATAAATATCAGATACGGGTTCACTTTGCTTTATTACTTACTCCTAAATTTATATTATCGACATGACAATGTAGTAAATTGTTGGTTGCATAGTAATTGCGTATGAAGTTCGAAGTGGTTGAAATTCAAAAATAAAAATTCTTCATATTTCGTTATAATACAGACCAGTTTTTTAAATCAGAATACAAGGTTCTTACATCTTTTCTTTTTTTTTCTGAGACTGAATATTTCGTATATTTAAAATACCCGCGCATATCTAGGAACTTTCATCTATCTTTCTAGTTTTGACTTTTGCTGGCAGCCATATTTGTATCATAAGGTTAAATAATAATTTTCAGACTACATTAATTATTGCTGGGGACGTTTTGATGCGCATGCGTATTGCGTTGATATCCGCAGAAAGGCGGGAAAGGACGGCGTCGTCTAAATATGTTTATGTACCTATTTGAGGTTTGGGTTTAACATTAGAACATTTATTTGAAGGTGTTGTAATTAAAGCCTTTTAAAACTGTTCGTTAGAACAATAGTTATAATAAAATTATACCTAAGTGAAAATATAGTGTTAATTTTCTTGTCAAACAAGAAGAAAATAACTATATAATTGAATTATTTTTGGCGAAAGAAAATAATTGATATTTAGTTTATGTTTAGATATAAACTAACAGAAGTAATCATAATCTATGGACGTAATGGATCATTCTACCGAAATTTTACCAGGAACTTGTTTCCTCTGTAATAAAAAATTTGCTGACCGCAAATTGAGGAATAGACTCGCTTTGTGTTATTTCTATTTCAATTTACATTTTTACATTTTGAGAATTTGTCATTTATTTATAAATAAAACATTTGTTACTATGCGTTTAAGTGGCCTTTAGTGTCATTATAGGTACTTCTACAAATAAAATATTTGATAAACTTGTGTAATTTTATATCATGTTTTGTAAATACATAATATGTGTTTTGTGTACGTAATAAACACTACTTAAAAGGTAAAAGTTGTTTAATTGTTACAAGAGAAAAGTCTTCATCAATCCTCATGTTAGCACAAAGTTTTCAACAGAAGAGGGCATTTTAAAAATATTAATTGAACATTTTTCTGACTAAAATTAGTTTCTGTTTAATCTTAGAATTTAATTCTGTATCCTCCAAAAATTTCAAAACCCTATGTAACTTTGGAATTAAACAAAAATGGGTTCACCACTTTTGTGTATGATTGAAACTACTATCCTAAAATTTAATCAAAACGTTTCAGAACATTTGCCTAAGAATTTAAACAATTTGCGTTCAACTTTTAGCAAATCGGAAACATAAATAAGAACAAATTTATACTTTATAGACTAATGCCATACAAATAAGATATAAAAACTATTATCATTTCACTTGCTAACCACAAGTAACATTCTATTATGTGTTTGACAAAATGTAATTATACTTCATATAGCTGTAATTTTTCTAACATGTCAACATCTTTTTTGAAAACTTTTAAATTGAATTTAAAATGTCCCGCGGATATCAACGCATGCGCATAAAAACGTCCCCAGCAATAATTAGTGTAGTCTATAATTTTCCCATGCCGAACTTTTAAGTAAAATTTACATTTTATGTAACGCAAACAAATTAAAAGAATTTAAAAGTATTACTTTAAAATGTCCTCGATTATTGTGGCAAGAGCCCTGGCTCCAGGTAATTAATAACTTAATTAATTAGGTTAAAATTGTAACTATGCGGCTTATATTTTTGTAGCTATTCACCGTAGTTTAAAGCAATTAATACACAATGGAAATATTTCTAAACTACACAACTGCGCGAGGACATTACAAATTGTTTTGCCTCAAGGCAATCAAAAAAGACTTTACTCCGAAAAAAAGGTATTCGAACGTACGAAACCCCATTGCAATGTAGGCACCATTGGGCACGTGGATCACGGTAAAACTACGCTCACTGCAGCGATAACAAAAGTCCTAGCAGACGCGAAACTAGCCAAAGCTAGGAAATATCAAGATATCGATAATGCGCCAGAAGAAAAAGCTAGGGGTATTACTATAAATGTGGCACACATCGAATATCAGACTGAAAATAGGCATTATGGGCATACTGATTGCCCTGGTCATGCAGATTATATTAAAAACATGATCACAGGAGCAGCTCAGATGGACGGTGCGATCATGGTCGTCGCGGCCACTGACGGCGTTATGCCACAAACTAGAGAGCATTTATTGCTAGCGAAACAAATTGGTGTGAAGCATTTAGTTGTATTCATTAACAAAGTTGATGCTGCCGACAAAGAAATGGTAGAACTAGTTGAAATGGAAGTAAGGGAACTGCTTTCGGAAATGGGTTTTGACGGTGACAACATCCCCATTATATGCGGTTCAGCACTCTGTGCTTTGGAAGGCAAAAATCCTGAAATTGGTAGAGATGCTATCCTAAAATTGTTGCAAGAAGTGGATAACTACATTCCTACTCCCGTAAGAGAACTGGACAAACCGTTTTTGTTGCCAGTTGAGCACACGTATTCTATTGCTGGACGAGGTACAGTGGTTACTGGACGGTTGGAGAGGGGTGTGCTTAAAAAGGGGGCCGAATGTGAATTTGTAGGTTACAATAAAGTACTAAAGAGTACTGTCACAGGGGTGGAAATGTTCCATCAAATTTTGGAAGAAGCTCAAGCTGGAGATCAGTTGGGAGCTTTAGTAAGGGGGCTGAAGAGGGACGACGTTAAGAGAGGTAATAAATATTATTTATTCTTGCTTAATATCAATATATAAATTAAAATTTGTTTTAATAAAAATATAAGCTTACTCCACCGGTTTTTGACCAAGTAGTAGATTTATCAAAAATTCTTTATTTTGGGGTCAACTTGTTACAAGCATGATGAACAGTTTTTATAAAATCACTAAAAATAAACATAATTTTGTTTTTATGGTCTGGAAGATTTGAAAACTAATTCTTCTGTTTGTGACTAATTACTTTGACTTTCACAACTATTTCTATTTTTGACCATTGTCTACATTAGATAATCTTATTCGTAAATGATAGCCATGCTTTCATAGCACCTTCAACTTAGTAGGTCCCTCTTTGCCAGTAAGTACAACAACATTTAAGATACGGTATACTTTATAGGTTTTATACAGGGTGGCTAAATGAAAACGAAACAGAGCCATTTTCAGGAACTGCATCAAGATTGTAGAAAAACGTTCAGACACGTCGTTTTTAGATTAAAGGGGGACATTCTTTGCTGCTATTTTTGACTCCGCCACTTTCACCCCAAAAATATTTAAATGGCATTGGGGTTGACTAATATTTCTTTTGAAAGCTCTTACAATTCTCTTTACAACAGACTTTAAATTTTATAATTCCGCCCAATACTTATTAAAAATTTTGATTTTAAAGTTGAAATTTATGTACAAACAATCAGTAACGGTGAAAATGTTAGTCATTCGAGTTAAGTACGCCAATGGTATAAATTTAGTATTTCTTGCATTACATTGGTTTTTGGCGATTTGTTATCACTTTCGTAAAAAAAAAAAATTGTAAAAAACATAAATGAATGCTATACACACACAATGAACGTAAAATTAGTGGATTCCAAATTATTTTCTAGTATTATTTGGAAGCGTTGGTTGGTAGTTTATTTAATTGTGTTTTTGAAAATTAAACACTACGGTTTATTCCATTGCGGAAAGGGTAGATATCATTTCGTTTTACTTTATGAACAATAAATGTGCGAATAGAACAGCTCAGCTATTTAATGAACAACATCAAGATCGACATGTCAGGAGGAAGTATGTTTTAGTTTAGTAAAATAATTTCAAGAGACAGGGAATGTAGCCAATAAAACACGAGAAATTGAAAAACCTATAGTTAATGAAGCTAGTGAAGTTGCAGTTTTGGGACAAGTTCATCTTGACCCTACATTAAGTACGAGGCAGCTGGCATCTGTGTCTGGGATCTATCGAACTAGCATACAAAACATTTTGAAGAAAATAAATTCCGTCCATACAAAATACATTAAGTCCAGGAACTTCATGAGGATGATTATGACCTCCGTTTGCAATTTTGCGAAATAATGAGTGAGTGAGCAGGGAACGATCCACACTTCCTTTTTAACATCTGTTTTTCTGATGAATGCAGTTTTTTCTTGAACGGGACGGTAAATTGTCACAATTTCTGCTATTGGTCCGATTCAAACCCAAGAGTTTTTCACGAGGTGCATACATAGCAACGGGAAAAATTAAATGTATGGGCTGGAATTTTCGGTGACCGGCTAGTGGATACTTTTTTTCTACCTGCTAATTTGGCTGGCCAAATGTATTTGCAATTACTGGAAGACGCTATTGACCCTGCCTTGACTGACATTATTGAAAATGTTCCAGAGTATGATGAAGATCATTTGATTTTTCAACAGGACAGTGCTCCTCCGCATTATGCGTTAATTGTCCGTCAGTATTTGGACCAACATTTTCTACGGAATTGGATTGAGAGAAGAGGCAGCATTGAGTGGCCTCCACGATCACCGGATTTATCGTCCCTTGATTTCTTTTTGTGGGAATACCTAAAAAGTAAAATCTATAAAACACAGCCAGCTTCGCTGGAAGATTTGCGCCAAAGAATCGTCGACGAATGCCATCAAATCACTCCGGAAATGCTTTGGAATGTGCGCGAACGTTTCGAACAAAATCTTTATTCTTGTATGGAAGTAAGTAAGCAACTAAACATAATTTAAATTTTAAAATGTAAATTTTTTTCAAAGTATTGGGCGGAATTATAAAATTTAAAGTCTGTTGTAAAGAGAATTGTAAGAGTTTTCAAAAGAAATATTCCAAAATACCAGCAAAAAATGTCCCCCTTTAATCTAAAATCGACGGGCCTGAGCGTTTTTCTACAATCATGACGCAGTTCCTGAAAATGGCTCCGTTTCGTTTTCATTTGGCCACCGTGTATACCCATACACCAATTGTTTTGTACTAAATGTAATGTAAACAAATAAAATGTTTCTCTGTAGGTATGGTAATGGCCAAACCCGGTACGGTAAAGAGCTACGATCAAGTAGAATCCCAAGTTTACATTCTCAGCAAGGAAGAGGGTGGACGACCAAAGCCCTTCACGTCTTACATCCAACTTCAAATGTTCTGCCGAACGTGGGATTGTCCCGCTCAAGTGATAGTACCAGACAAGGAGATGGTAATGCCCGGTGAAGATTCCAAGTAATGTGGTAATTTAATAATTTTATATTCGCTTTATCGTCAAACTTTACAGGTTGATACTGAAGATGTTGAGGCCTATGGTGCTAGAGGAAGGTCAGAGGTTTACTCTTAGGGACGGTTCCCAAACTCTAGGAACTGGCGTTGTTACGAAAACTTTGCCGATGCTTACCGAGCAGGAGAGACAATCACTGACGGAGGGTAAAAAAGCTAGGGAGAAGAAAGCGAAGAGTACGAATTAATTTTTATTTTTAGCTGTAACTTAGATGTATGTTCACTTTTACTATTCAAACAGTTTAAGTATAAGCAAATCTCTTGAAACTAGTTTTTTCCTAAGCTCGGAACCGATTTCAGTAACGTTTTGTATGATATTTAAATAAATTAGAAGTATGTTTTAAATATACTGTACGATGTTGCATTTGTGATTTAATTTAATAAAAAATTGCAAGGCTTTATTTTTTTGCTATAAAATAAGAAAGAAATGCAGATATTGGGCTATTTTTTTAAATACAACAAAAAAAACTCCCAAAACAAATTTATTAATATTTAGAGACATGAATCTTGAGACTTTATTTAGTGAATTATTAATATGTACAGTGCATCCTATTTTCGAGGTCATGATCTGGACATATCAGTTATTGTCATGTTCCAAGTCCCGAATGCATTTTGAATTTTACTCCACTTTTGAATCTGGCATCCGAAGCCGTTTGCAGACCTATACGTTCGGAAAACCCAGGCAAAAGTACTTGTCGATGCTTGAGGGTATTTAGCCAACTGTTCTTGTGAAGTAAAAGAAAATGAGCGAAAATCGAGAATTTTACCTATGTTTTGAATTCACCTGTTGAAGCTGTCCACAGAGCCGTAAATCGATTCAAACACCTCAAGCAGCGCCACACATCAAGTGAGCCCAAAATAAGCCCCAAATCTATACTGAGGGTTTCATATGACAGGTCCAAAATAGCCTGAAAAACTAAATGCAATTTTTTCTCTTACTTATGACATGGTAACGTATTGTAAATATTTTCAAAAATAAACTATTTTGCAATTCAGAACATTGTTGTAAGCACACAATTCGATACCTAAACCAGCCATCTAGCATCCATCAATGTGTTTAGTGGTGCATTTGTTTTTTAGCCATGGCCAACTTGATCCATTCTTTTATTAAGAAATAGGCTTAGGTATCTACATTTTTATACTCCCTTAGTTAAGACAGAACAAATGTTCTTGAAAAACATGAAGCACCCTCTTTTTAACTAAATCATGGTTTCCATTTAAAAAATGCAACTTTGATATCAAAATTTAGATTTTTTGGCTATAACTCTAAAATATTTAAAAACAAGGAAAATCTGTTTTGATCTGAAGACCTCACTCAATACGTTCACAAAAACTGCTATTTTCATCTTCAATAATAATCAGGTCTAACATATCTAAAATAGAATCCACTCCTATGCCAATTTTGGTCCTACTTAGGAAATTTCTTGCATTTCTAACACAAAAACTAGGCAGGAGATATAAGAGCATGATTTTCGAGAAAAATTTGAAAATATTTGTTCATTTTACTTACTGCATTAATGAATGTACGGGGACTTACAATTTTGTAAAAAAAAATTCAAAACGGCAGTTCGAAAATGATTAAAAAATACACATCTGCACAATACTGGAAACTGGTGTAATAAAAAATGAATGGATAAAAAATTTAAAGAATTTCTTTCAACAAATTCAACTGCGTTTGCCGGCATTGTTATTATTAACTAATTAAATTAATTTGTGGTTTTAATTAATAAATTAATTTGATTTACCTGATGTTACAAGTAACAACTGTTTTCCTTATTTTCTCCACCGATGGGCCCGTCTTACCCAGTTTCTATGAACTAACACAAATGTTTCTGGTTCTTATTGTCCGTTTTCAACTCGTAAGTTATTGGCAGCGGCTCTGATACATTCTCGTAAATCACCACACTTTAGTGCGATACACTTCATTTTTTAAATATCCCGGAAATCGGCCTATGTACAGATGAGAAGTTGCTAAAGCATTTTGTCGTGCTTCACCATAAATTAAAACGATATCCATCAACTCGGAGTTGCTATACACGTAAATCTTTCTCAACACTTGAAAAACTAATGTAAACACTATTGCAATAACGATAAGACTAAAATCGGATTTCATTATTAGGAATCGCACAGAGCATAACGCAAATGACGCTAGAGACTACAGTAGCCCAGCGATGTAAAGGTTGAAAATACTACAACTTTAATAATACTCTTCTCAAAAACTATAAGGATTTTACACAATTTTTGTTTATGATATGATTTTTTATGACACATCTATTCCCATTTTTTTTATAAGTTGTGAATGACCCTGTTTAGTATAAATTAGGACATTAATTATACAGGCCGTTACAAATTTGCTTCTCACTACAGGGATCTCGAAAACTGGGGGCAAAGTTGCGTAATCAGGCGACCAACATTATGCCTCTAAAAAATCAAAGATAATATTAGTTTTCGAAATATTTGAAAAAAACTGAAATTTTGGAAATCTGTTTTTGTTTCATTTCAGCCTTGTTGAGGTGATATTGGAAAAAGAAGAACACTATCTCATAGCCACTTTTTGCCCTCTATAGAATGGCATAATCAATTTTATATGTAACGTTTCGTCTCTCCAGGACCATCATCAACATAATTTTTTTAAATAAGACCCTGGAAATTTTATTACATTTTTTGCAAGTCTTCGTGACCCCCAATACTGTACTGCCTCAGCCTGAACCAGATTCTAAACTTTATCAGAGATAACTTATATGAACTGTCAAAATTTGGTTTGGAGTAGATGATGTTTTGTTTTCAAAGCACTCTTCGTAAAAGCTGATAATTCGGTAGTTTGATGAAAATGAAGTACTAAACCATAACATGTAACACATCATAGTAATCAGACAAATGTGGCGCATTAAAGAATGCAAAAATTTAATATGGCGCTGTATGAAAAACAAAAGTTGAATGTTGCTTCTTCAAATTCAATGGCTATTAAATTCCTCAAATGTGTCTCAACAATGTTTGATTTTAAGAATCATACCTATTCCCATTATACAGGGTTATTCATGCAACAAAATTTGGTTACAGATTCTTAAGACAAAATTAAGGGAGCCATAATTTTATTTTGTCCAAGTGGTCCCCTCTTTCGGAGTTACAGCCCCCTGAAGTCCGCCCCTAAGAATAATCTTTTTTTTATATCTCAGAACCTTGTTGTACGAGAATCACTAAATTTGGTACACAGGGGTTTTATGACATGTGGAATCTGATGGTGCTACGTTTTTTAGCGGGAAACCCCCTGAAGACAATTTTTTGAGGGCCCCCTTGTCTTTGGAGCCAAAAAAATTTGGTCGCATATTTAAATTTCTTAAAAATTATCAGAAAATTACTAGAAAGCCATTAAATTTAGAAACTTTTTGTCTTTATACTTTTTCTGTAAACCGCAACGTTTTCAAGAAAAATGTCAAAATGTGATCGAATGCATATTGTGATTCGCCATTTTCCTCAAAAACATTGCGTTTTACAAAACAAATATCAAGAGATAAAAAGTTTCTAAATTCAATGGCTTTCTAGATAATTAATAATATTAAAACAATCAAATTTGCAACGAAATTTTTCTGGTTCCAAAGACAAGGGGGCCCACGAAAAAGGGTCTTAAGGGGGTTTCTCGCCAAAAAGTGTAGCACTGTCAAATTCCACGTCATAAAACCACTGTGTACCAAATTTAGTGATTCTCGTACATGGTTTTGAGATATAAAAAAGACTTCCTAGGGGCAGATTTCAGGGGGCTGTAACTCCGAAAGAGGGGGCAGTTGGCAAAAAGAAAAAATAAAGGTCCCCTAAATTTGTCTTAAGAATAATCTGACCAAATTTTGTTGCATGAATTTCGGGACACCCTGTAGATTTAAAAAATTTAAAAATCAAAATTTTTAGTTTTGTAATCATGACAAATTTCTGTTCAAGTTATTAGTCATTAAATTCCTTCGCCCCAATTTGAGCTATCTCTTAAGGTATCCAAGATTTCAATTATGCACCACAAAAAAAAAAAAAAAAACAATGGTAATCTTGAAGAAAAAAATTTGTAGTGAAAAACGGTTTATTAATAAAGTAACACTATTGTCTATTTCACATGAATAAGAACTGAAGGTAATTACAAAAAATTTAAGCACAGAATTTCAATCCTTCCGCAATCATACAGACGCCCCGATTGAGCAGTACCAGACAAACTCATTTGACAAATTTAGAAAACAGGCATAGCTTATAAAAATATCAACAGCCCGCCATCAGGCCACACACAAGTTAATTTAACATAAATTAGTTCTTGAGTTAAGTCTTAATAAAATTTTATTATACAAAATGGTTGGTAATTAATTTATAAATCCTCATCATCCTCTGGCAGGGCCGTCTCTTGAGCCTCTTTGAGATCCTTTTCGATTTGTTGTTGCCAGTGGGGGTCCATCTGGACTTCTGGGGGCACTAGGGCGGGCATGGCGACGAACTCCAGGTTGGGATCGCCGATCAGCTTTCTAGCGAGCCATAGGAAGGGCTTTTCGAAGTTGTAGTTTGATTTAGCAGAGATGTCATAATACTGAAATAAAAAACACATTTTTTTTTTTATTTGAGACACCGAGAGAATTTTAAATAAAATTTATTTCAGAGAAAGTAAATACCCAAAATAAAATAACGTTCAACAAATAAAATAAAACATTACATCAAAAAAATAGTCCTCCAAACAGTTTAGTTCTAAATTTATCAACTTCTGTTTCGTTACTTTTTTAAATTTACTTAATATTTTAATTTTGTCATACAGGGTGTCGGGAAATTAAACCGACAAATGAAGACAGCAAATTCTAGGGATGAATTAATTATAAGCACTGTGATAAATGAACATGAACCTTATCAAACCTTTTTTGTTTTCATTCTCTAAACTTAAATTAAAACAGACAAAATTTATTATAAGCAGTTACTCAGAATTCCTTTTCTCTCTGTGTGGCAAATAAATCAAATTAAATAAAGATAATAACTAATAAATATCATCACAAATAAATTCGGTAAAACCTCTATCTACGAACACCTCCAAAAAGTTGACACCTGTAAACATCAGACAAAGAGTGACCACAAAAAACCTGATTTTCGCCCGTTTTTTCACAATTCACAGAAAATTAAAAAAATACATAAAATTATGTTTTTGGTCGCAAATTACTTGAAAACTGAAATGAGCTTTTAGTATTTTGAAAATTTAAAAAATCACCCCTACTTAGGGGTTGAAAAAATGCCAAAAATGAAGCATTTGAATATTACCAATCGACATAAAAACCACTAGTATGTGAATTAACTTTATATATTTTTTTAGAATTTTTAGAATTATTTCTGATATTTTTATTTTGGGGATGATTCCACCCCCTGAGCGCGCTTAAGGGTGGATTTTCTAATTCAACATGCTTATTTCAGTCATGAGAATAAATCTCTCTTTGTATCAAGAATCATTCGACAGAAAAATTCACATGCTAAGATTTTATATTTATTGGTAATATTCAATTCATTTTGGGCGTCCTTTTTGAAAATTTTCAAAAAACTAAAAGCTATGCTCATCTTAATTTTTTACGACGAGTAATTTGAGACCAAAAACATTTTTATCTATTTTCTTTAGTTCTCTGCGAATTGTGAAAAAAAACAGACGGATTTTGGCAAGATGGTACTGGTTCAGTGAGGCTAGCCAACAATTTAATTTAAGTAATCAAAAACTCATGGAAAAGTTTAGTGTACAGAAAAACGTAAGTTAACGATATATTGAAAAATACAAGTGAAATTCGGTTCTAGAAGAATGGAGGAGAAAAAAAAAACTTCCAAAAACTGCTGATTTGGTCTTGATGAAACAGTTTTTAATTGGTTCTGCAAGATACATGACAAGGAATATTCCTTCTGCTCAAAGAAAATGACACGGAAGAATCTGGTGAAAGATGGTAAGAGGAAGTATTACCCAATGAATTAATATGAATTACATCAGCTTGGAAGAAATTATGGTTTGTAAAGGAAAGAAAACTGTATAATAAAACTAGAATTAAAGTATGACTAACATAACTGAATGTGATATAGAAGATTAACATTTTTATTTCCAAATTTTCATGCCACTAACTTAGATTTAAAAACATTCAATAATCGACGATGATTTAAAAACTGAAAATCCAAATGTCTATTATTGATTGTATTGATGAAATCAGTGATCAAATGAAAACAGATTGAACAAGAGGTATTTGTAACTATTATTTTGAGTAGCCTATAAAGGATTAAAAGTCCTTAAAATATATTTTTTTTCAGCTTCAGCAAATTTTAACATCGCCAAGAATATTTCTCCAGCTTTACTTGAATGCTAATCGTAAATATTTAACAGCAAAATGAAAAAAAGGAAAAGAAGAAGAAATCTTTGGTAGATTAATGTGTATTTATTTTAAAATGCTTATAGTTATATATTATATTATCCATACAATATTTGTTGATATGATTCCATGAAAAGAATAAGTCAAAAAAGTTCTGTTATCGGAACCACTGTAACAATTTACGACAGGGCATGCCTTGAAATTTTCCGACAATGTCTTTCTTCCTTGGGTATTGAATGTGGTTAATTCTAAGAAAGTGATGCTAAGGTCTTCTTAGAATTCTATCTCAACTAAAATATCGTACAGATTTGTATGTTTGTAGGGATACTGCTGTCAAACTTAATTTTTTTTTCCATGTAGGTACATATTTTTAGTAACACACATAACTTTATGCTATTTTAAATGTGGTTTAATTTAATCTTAACAAAATTAAACTTGTTTTTTTCATTATTTAGCCCAAACTTTTAAATAACAAACAAGTTTTTAAGATTCATATTGGCAAATATTACGTTATTACTTTTATTAATAAATTACACAATTATTTTGAATCTACTTTAATATTACCTAATATGAAGTAAAAGTTCTAAAGGTTCAAACTAAATTTTAAAGTTCTTCTAGCCACTTTTATTTTACTAATAATTATTAGTCTTATAAGATAGTTCTATATTCTGACTGTGCTTTCATCATTACTGAACGAATGATCACAGTTGCGTAATATGTAACGAGGAATAGAATGGCTAACATAAACTGACACGGCGACAAAATTATACGACCGTGTTTCTGTCAAATTTGACAATTAAGTAAAACTAAGTCAAGACTTACTTGTAAATTCTTCTTTCGGTGGAACACGATGCTTTTAGCCTTAACTTTTCTGTCCTTAATGTCTACTTTGTTGCCACAGAGCACAATTGGGATATTTTCACAGACTCGAACGAGATCTCTGTGCCAGTTCGGTACATTTTTGTATGTCACACGAGAAGTGACGTCAAACATGATGATGGCACATTGTCCCTGAATATAGTATCCATCACGAAGTCCCCCGAATTTCTCTTGACCGGCAGTGTCCCAGACATTGAAACGAATGGGACCTCGGTTAGTGTGGAACACTAAGGGGTGAACTTCGACACCTAAAGTGGCTACATATTTTTTTTCGAATTCACCAGTCAAATGGCGTTTTACGAATGTGGTTTTTCCAGTACCTCCATCTCCGACTAGCACACACTTAAATGTGGGCATTTCTTGTTCTGCAGCCATGGTTTTGATAGGATTTGAATAGTCTAAAAGATACAACACAATGTTAGTCAAAGAAATTTCTGGAATAATATTAAACTAGTATCAAAACGCTGAAAATAAATGAAAATTTTGAAAGTTTACAAGTACTTCTTTTAAGACAACTGACAAATGACTGAACACGTTTTAGTAAGTTTTAATTTTTGAGCTAAATGGCGCTACAAAAACGTATCATAGGATTTTGACATTACAGTACCGACTTTACATATATTTTTCTATGTTGATAATAATCTAAACACAAAACTAGGGCATAGGTAACATTCTACATAAAAAAATAAACTTACCTTTACAAGAAAAACTGCTAATAAACACCGATGGCACAGAAAATCACCGATTACTGATGCCTTCTTCCAAAGTCGTTAAAGTTCACAATGGCGTTCACAAGATGCCAGGGAAAGGTGACTAACGTACCCGCCAATAGATTAACCTATTAGAGAGTTTATTTATACGGAGCCGCTGTATCGCCCTTAAAATTCGTAAAATGGTGTTTTTTACGGTAAAATTTAAAATTTTTCGCTAATTTAGAAGAAAAACTAAATTTAGTTCCAAAATTAATGAGTGACGTCACAGAAAACGTGACGTCATATGCACATGCGCAAATTACTGACGGCACTGCAGAACTCTATCGATTTTCGTGTGGAGGACTGGTGGTCGTTCGCTCCGTTTTGTCGGTTGTTCTAGTTCTATAGTTGTGGTGGTATTTAAACAATTTGAATGGGATTATTTTGTAAAATTAAAGTTTTAAGTGGTGTGTGATCAAAGCCGGGTCAAGATGACTAAGGATAGATTAGCAGCTCTTGTTGCGGTAGGTTTTGTATATTTCACAAAATCCTACAATTTTTATCCACTTTTTAACTAAATTTAGTGAGAATTATATTTGTAATGTTTCACATCAATGACATTTTTATTACTCAATCAATCTAGTTAGCCGCTGACAGACCCAGCTGGAGAATTAACTGTTGCTAAATGTTTGATTGTTAAATTAAACTATTAGGTTAGGTGAAAAAAGAACTATGATATATGTCAGATCAGGCCCCACCCCTTAGGAACTGTCAGTAATTTGCTCAGATGTGAACATTTGTTATTATTTTTCTTTTTTATTTATTTCAGGCGCAAAGTGATGATGACGATGTCGGACCCGATGATGTTGCTGTCAACGTCGAGGGTCGCGAGGGCTTCATGGATGCATTTTTTCAAGAGGTAGGTGTCGTTATTTCCGAGAAATGCCTTAATCTGAATAAAATATTATCTCCGGCCTGTTACACTGTTGGATTATGTAAATAATCCGACCTAAGACAACAGTAAACATTTACTCATCACTGCAAAAATAAAACAGTGACAATGTTAAATATAACATTTATTTTGATTCTGGGGCTATTACCTACAGCTTTTTAGTGTTCTACTATACTATGCTAATATTCGAGTTATTTCATCCACCCTTAACTATGTAAATGTTAATAAAATAGTTAAAATATACTTAGTAGGTACAAACATGTAGATATATGTAGATATCTATTTGATAAGGTCCTAGTAGGTACTTATTAAATTAAGGTCTTTGATTTCTTGCTTTCATTTTAATTTGTACTTAATTTATTACGGTAGAAGTTGTGATTCATATTTATTATTATTGAGAATTTAGTTTCCCATTCACAATTTTTTTATTTCTATATTGGTGAAAATGTAGATACTTAGTTGAATCATTTCAAGATTTGTCAATGAATGTCTGGCAAATGGTGGCGGATGCGCCAAATTAACAGCATTGTCGTAAATTTCCTTCTAATAATTTTTATTCATTATTGACTAACGTAAGAGAATGTATTTAACATTTATTTAGATATACAATACTGTCAAATGATAATTGCATTTTAAAATTTTATAGAAAAAAATAACATTTTATTCGTAGGATACATCATATGTAAAAGTTTATTTTTCATTTCTATTCATAAAATGACTAAAATTGTAGGCAACCTGTCGAATCCTTTTTTGAATAACGACTTAGTTTTGTTAATTGAAATTAGATGGTTCTTTATATGGATGTTGGTTTGGTCCATCTTTCAGCATCATTAATCAAGTTTCAATTCGGAGTACTTTTTTGTAGTTTCATCATATAACTACTGCAGTGATATTTGCATATTATGTAGATTCGCCTATTTTTCTTTCTGGTTTGATTTATCGTTTCCAGAGCACACTTAACTTGCAGTATTTTCAGAAAATGCAGAGAAAATATGACCTTTGAATTATTAATAATCTCGTATGTCGATACGCTTACGTAATTAATAGGTAAATTACCTAGAAAGTAGATATATGTGTGGGTAAGAAAGAATTATACAATTTAATCCTCGATTTTATTTATCCCTGCCATTAAATCGAAAATAAATTGTCCGTTTCTAATTGCACATTAAAATCACTCAGATTGCTCGTAAAATTATATAGTAGGTATATATTTTATTGCAGGTTATGCCAAATTAGGGGTGACTGATGTCGATATAAAAAAGAATTTTCTCCGTGGTTTTGCTTCCTTTTTATAATCTGATTTCATTTTTATATAGATACTTTTACACTGTATTTCAAGATTTATATTTGAGTTTATGAACTTAAAATAAGATACCAAGTTTCTGATCTTTTTTCGATTATGTTCGTTTTTTTTGTTTTGTAAATATTATTAATCTCGTCCATCTTTATAAATTGCATAATCAGTTAATATTTATTCTACTAAGCTGTTTTCTTAAATGTTTGTTGATGTTAAAAATGTCTTCTGAAAATTTTTCTCCAAAATATTTTTAAAATTATTAAACGGTAAAAAATTCACATCATCCAATCTCTGATTCTCGTAACTTTGTTGGTTATCTTTTATCTACCTTCTCATATGTATTAAGTATTTGTTTCTTATTCAAACAATGTAGTAAATTTACGGACTATATATTTACTCTATTGTTATATAACGTTTTGTGTAAATATAGGCAAAATTATTAAAAAATAAAAAGTACGGTTTATGTCTGTACTTGGGTATGTGATTTCAGAGTTTATTTCCTAGCCATAATTTATCACAAGTCATTTTAAAAGGTCGATCATATTAAATATTTTATTTATTGTAAATCGATATTTGGTTTGGGTTTATATAGTTCTTCCTGTAATTATGGCATCGATTGTAGAAAAGTTTCATATACTTTTTGGTATGAATTGAACTTATCTACTAATAATCATATATGTACTTATTAAATCCTGTTTTTTTTAAAATTTTTTAATCTAAATTAGTTTCGTTTTTTCAAGTATTGTAATGGTTTCTTAAGTATGAGGTCTGTACATAAAATAACCGAACTTTACTTTTTTAAACTTTATTATTAATTTTATGCAGCTGGCGCATTGTCATAAGTTGTCTCGCCACGACTCTGGTCTCTCTTTGCGGATTTTTTCACGTAACCACTGTGAAACGCCTTGATATTACACACGGTTCACTATTTCACCTTGAGACAAGAATTCAAAATGCTCAATTCCATTAAAGTCGAAAGAAACAGTGATCATCACTTTTTTTGCCAATCCATTGTGATTATTGAACTTTTGTCTCAATGCCGTAGCTGTAAACCCTGTCTTTGTCTCCGGTTATGATCCTTTGAATGAATGTTTCATCGTCGTTGGATTGTTCAATTAGTTGCCGACAAACGTCCACAGATTTTCTTTCCGTTCTGTTAAAATTTCATGGCTATGATGCTAACTTCTTTCACAATTTCTCAGACAGCCAATCAGCGATTTGCATGCATTAGATCTTTGATTTTCTGAACGTGGGAGACATCAGTTGAAGTCGAAGATCTTCCTGGTCGAGGATCATCTTCAATTGACCGACCATCATTTTTTTGAACAGACCTATGTATCGAAGATTTTCGGAGAAAAGGATTTTTTAAATATTTTTATTATATATTCTAGAATGTATGTTTTGTAAATAAATGTAATATTTTTTAAGTACTGTTAATTTTTATATCCAAACATTTCCAAAACCCATGGGTAATTTGATGTCAAGCTTAAGTAATACTTATTTGAGTACCTAATGCCGAGTATTATTTGAATAATATTTCGATAATATTTACCTAAGTATTAAAACAATTATTTGTCCCTCAAAATGAGTATTTTAGTCTACAAATTTTTTAACAAGCGGTTTCTCCTCGTCACTCGTCAAAAACCATATCCCGTATTTTATTCCGACACTAAGGATGTGAAATAAATAATATTAAACTGTATTCATTATTATCAGATCTAATGCCACTCAATTAAAGATTTTATAAAATTAACAAATTCTTGTCGGATGAAATACTTTATTGCAGTACATTTTTTACATATCTTAGTGCAGTGTAGTCAATTTAAATTTATAATTTAATGCATGATTTATTGTCAGTTTATTGAACCACAGAAATACAGTGACCAATACCGACATTTTAAACGAGAGGGAAACTGTCGGCCAATATTTGCACATTAAAATATTGAATTTTGTTATTAATTACTTAAGTTTGAATTTCTCAAATAGTAGGCAGGGGCGGGGTAAGGGGGCAGATGACGCATGCGCTCAATTCATATAACGTAAATAACTTTTCTTTATTAGGTCCTACCTATTTTGCCATTAGTGAGCGAAATTAAAAAAAAAATAATGAATGAATTGTGCCAAAAGGATCAGTCGGGGATTATTTTTCGAGGGGTAAACCACTTGACGAAAATGTGTACACCACATTTAACATTTACAAATATTTACCATTATTTATAAATATTTACGAATATTTACAAATATTTACTAGTATTTACTAGTATTTACTAATATTTACTAATATTTATGAATATTTACTAATATTTATGAATATTTACTAATATTTATGAATATTTACAAATATTTACTAATATTTACTAGCATTTACTAATATTTACGAATATTTACAAATAATTACGAATATTTATGAACATTTACTGATTGCCCCTCGTGATTTATTATAGAGACAGATTAATAATTAGAAAATAAAGACACTATTTAAAATACATATAACTTTTATTCATTTCATAACCATAAATCATACTCGGCATTTTAACATTTTGTAAGATTTTACTATTTTGGCCCGATCACTTTCACTAATAGTCATTCTTCCCGACCCTAGCATTTGTATAGGTCCAAAAAAAATATA